GCTACTTATCTTATACTCTAGTGTAAGGCCAGTGTAAGGCTACTGTAAGCCTCTGCTAGCACTTAGCAGAGGCTCAACATAAATCTGCTGAATGATGAAATGGGTGAATAGCCTCCCTCTGTGACCTCCCACCTCCCCCACTTCCCTTCCTCTACACATGTTAACCAACCTTTAAGGCCAAGGCCAAATTCTATTATTTCTAAGAAGATTATCTCCCAGAACCCTCTTTCTCTTTTATACCAAGAATTTGGCACTTATCATCTTATCATCTGTCTGATAATTGTTTCCCTTTTCGTATGTATCTCCCTTAAAATTCTTATAATCCTATTCTCCGTAAGGGCATGGGCTCAGGTCCCCAACTTTTGGTAGCCACCTCAGCACATTAAATAGTATACCATTGATAAATATTTTGCTTCATTGATTTATGTCTATAGTTAATGCAGAAATTCAGTTAATCCAGTTAATAATCCACATAACTCAAAATAGGCCATGAAACTGCAGTCAGTCCCCTTTTACTTTAAATTTATCTCCGGCAATTTCAAGTTTTATATTCATATGCAATCATAATTTATGTGCATCATTTACTTTATCCATTCCCCTCTCCCAAGATTAAATTTTTTTATGTAATAAAAAAAACCTAGTGACTTTTTGGTGATATTTATAATGAAGTTTCTAACCCCAATCTAAAAGGGGGTGAAATTTCATTACTCTCTTCTTGTTGCTGAGGCATGGAAGAGTATTTTTCCATTTATGCCTTTTTTCCTTTCATGCCAAGATGTATCCCATTTCCTTCTTTACTGATCATACCCCTGGCAAGCTTTTATTATTTCTTTGTACCTGTCCTTAGTAATCTGTTTTAGATTCTTCTTTTGAGCCACTCGTTTCCTCTAATCATTTATTTGATTAAATTTCTAACTCCCTGTTCTCAATCATTCGGTATAGAAGAATGGCCTCCTCTTAAAGCCTGAGCCTGCTTCTTTAAATTTAGCCAACCTTTATGAACCTCTCTTCACACAGCCAATCCTTGATCATCTCAGCTAATGAACTGTACAAAAATAACATATCATCTGCAACACAAGAAAATCAGAAAAAAATAGACATCTGGCTTTGGAACAAATCACGTGTAGCTTTGGGAAAAATTTACTTTCTTAGTTATATTCTTGTTTAATCCAACATTAGTAAGATTTTCTTTTATGATGGAGAATATCTGTCTCAGTTTTAAAATTTGATGTTATTTTTTAAAAAAGCCAATCAAGCATCAACTGTAGTTTTTCCTATGAAGTCTTTTTAACTAGTTCCTTCAATCTGTTGGAATCTATCATTAAATCTGTTTTCTGTTTCCTCTGATTTATCTCCTTTTCTTGGGATTCTGATCCAAATCAGTCTACCCTGTATTAATTTACCTTTTCAATCTGAAGTACCTTTAGCTTGAGAATGCAAAGCACTTTTTAAGAAACCTGACATTCTGAACATAAAACCATTTTTAAAATATTGACTGTCCAGTAAAAATTTTTTGTCTAAATATCAAAGGATATAAAACTGTTTTTGTCAGATACTATAGGAAAACTTCAGGTTCCAAGGTAAATTACACTGGTAATTCTAGGAAATTGTATTTAATAGTATTTCATGATTCGTTGAAAATAGAAAAACTTTAATACTGGTCAGCTTCATCAATATATTAATTCCATATGCTAAAAACTCCATGGAATTAAAGTCTCAATACAGGCACTTACAGAAAGCATCAAAACAAACTCACACATAAACCCTGCCCCTTTCTCTGGCTCCAACCTAAACTCAGCTACCTTATTAAGACCTATTCTTAAATCCTGATCTTGGCCTCACTTCCACTCCCAACCATCCCACAAATAATTTTTACATGTGTAGGAAAAAGGAAAAGAAATAGGTTTTAACAGGATCTTCTCTTTTGGCCCCTTCTCAGTTAATTGCCAATAAGCTTTTGGCCAAAGAGACCCTTAACCCCCAATTTTACATGACTATTTTTCTTTACAGGTATTCAATTACATTCACCAAACTGAACCAAAGGATAAGGACTTCCCAAATTGAAAAAGGAATAAAACTAGAAAATTCCTACCTCCCTCTACAATTATGCACTATCTGAAACACGAAAGTAAAATATGTACAATTTTAAGCCCAGATATTTTACTTTGAGTTGCTGATATACCAGAGGATAAAACTAAAAATTTTTAAATATTACCACAGTTTACACATTTTTTTGCATCTGAATGTAGGTTTATGGTGCTTGAACCATATTTTCATATACTATTCACATTACCAGAATTCAAAACAACCTCATTTCTAATTTTCCCCCATGTGGAATTTTGGTAAGTACAAATTATTTTACCTAAAATCCAACTCTTGGGCTGGTGTTATTTAGCCCAAATTTCTACATAAAATGCTAATTAGCCAAATAAATTATTTTGATAGCAACCTTTCACACTGTCTTCAAACTCAGTAAATTCTACAACTGTATTTAAAAAACAAAACCCTTTCACAGTGCCTAGTCACATTCTGTCTAAAATACCTACACAAAGCCATATATATATTCTTCGTTTTTCATTTTACTTTTCCAGCCTGCTGCCTTCATCAAATACACAACTCTACAAGCCTCAATCACAGCCTTCCAAGCTGTGTCCACCAATATATGCAATTATCAAGGAAAAGTAAATAAAGAGTAATTAACTTAATTAGTAAAAGTTCTTCTTTTAAAAATTTACCTTAACTTTAACAATCTCTTTTCTTGATGGAGCTGAAACAGCATAAATCCTCCAAGGAAAAGTTGTCATCTACATGTACTCTCCATCAGCCCATAAAGTGTGGCATAAAGAGGCATTTTTCTGACAGTCCCCCAAAGAGTAGTCATAAGGTCTTTCATGGATGGTAAATTTCACACACACGGAAAAGGAAGAAGAGAAAGAAACATACCCGGTCATTTTCTAAACAGGTTTGATAGGTTTGGTTCACTTCTAAGAGCGGAGTATTTACTTATAATCTTTTAAAGCAGAAGTGGCAGCCGGAGCACTGGATAAATAAAAACTTCAGAGAGTTTTAAAACCCTGCATCTTAACTCACTTCCCCTAGGTTCAAGGGGATGGCTCTGCAAACCTCACAGCAAATGAGATTATGCAACAGGTTTTTCCTCCCCACCTTACTTATTCATCACAGGCTGGTTAGAGGTGTGCTTTCTCCAAACAAACTGAGACACCCAGGACTTTAAAACGCCAAGGATCTTTGCAGATGACGTTTCATAAACTTCTTTAGGGTTTTGCAGTATCCATTCATTTTCAGATCTACTTGTATTTTCTCAGGTTCTTTACCGGCTTTCTTTAGGAAATAAACCCAACATCTGAAAACTTAGGTTTTGCATATTTTCCGCCGTGTTTTATTACATGAAACTGCACATGATACACAGACCTTCAGTTGTCTCCCTGGACTTTTTTATTTCTCACGTTTTACAGCTCATGTAAATAAGCCACTAGCGCAGCGGGCCCCCCAACACCATGAACCGAACCCCTGAAGGAAAGTTGAGATTTTTTTGGTTGGTTGAAGAAAGCAGCACCGTCACCACCCAGGTGGCCTCGTCGCTTACCCCAAAGGCGAACTGGGGATAATGGGAACAGTCAGGCCGGGGGCCCACTTGGCAGGCGTGTTGTGTAACAGTCGCGCCTGCAAGTGAGCAGCTTCGCCCGCGAAGGTGCCGCGTCCCGCAGCGGTCGCTCCCCTCGGCGGGGCCGAGTCCGAGCCCGCTCCCGCACCGTGGCACGGCCAGGGGCGCTCGCACTGCGACCCCGCGCCCGGCCGCACGCCCCCTTCCCGCTCGGGCCGGCCCCCACAGAGGCCTACACCCCCGCTTCAGACGCTCGTGCGGCTCCGGGCCGCGGTCGCCCCCACCCCGCCTCCCGAAAAGGTGGCCGGGACGCCCGGGAAGGCAGAGCCTGCGACGCCAGAGCGCAGCGCCCGAAGTCGGGGAGCGCCGCGGAGCGTCCACGCGGCCGGGCGCCCGGAGCCCCGCAGCCTCCCGCCCGAACCCCCCGCGCGGTGCGCCCAGGCCACTTACTTTTGGGGCAGGCGACCTCCCGACTCCCTCTGAGGGAAACGAAACTTGTCACGGCGTCTCCCCGCGGGCCCCCCTCGCCTCCCGGGCTAGCGAGGCGCCGCCGCGGAGCCGGGAGGGCGGTCGGTCCCGTCCCGTCGCTCCCTCCTCCTCCGCTTCTCTTCACTATATTATCTTCTCCTGCGCTGAGGGGTGGGTGGGGGCGGGAGGCTCAGGAAGAGAGGAGACGTTCGCAACTTTTCTTCACTCTTTCTCTTCCACCCTCCCCCCCATCAGCCTTCAGAAAAATGTCGAAAGGGGTGAAGAACTTGAGTAGGTAAAGGTGGGGGGCCGCGTGGTGAGAGGGGAGGGGAGGGAGAGGTGACAATAACCGTTTAAAAACTGATTAAAACCCCCCAAGCAGTGACACACAGAAAGAGGGGGAAAGGCTGGGGGGTGGGGTGGGGGGTTGGGGAAAGAGAAAGAGTCGCTGGTCAGGAAACTTCAAGCGCGGATGAGGTCATTGGTTTAAAAATAAAGAGATGGCGTCACTTGAAACCAATCCCAGTGAATGAACTCAGCAGAGCCCCGGGGAAAGGAGGAGACAGGCGAGGGCAGGGCGGTGGGCGGTGGGCGCCGGGCGGGGCCGCGCGCCCGCCCGCCCATCCATCCCGCGGCCGCCCGAACCCGGAGCGCGGCTCCGCGCCTCGCGTTCGGCGGCGCGGGGAGGGGTCAGAGTTCCCGTCCAGAGTTCGGCGACTCGGAGGCAGGTTCCGCGGGCGCCGCTGGGAGGAGCCGCGGCTGCGGGAGGAAGCGGCCCGCGCCTCCCCTCCCCCTCCCCTCCCGCGCCCGCGCGCCGGCCCCCCCCTCCCCGCCGGCTCGCTCCCTCCTCCCGGGCCGGGGTGTCCGCAGCGCTGCGCCCCAACAGGTACTGAAGGGTTCTGCCCCCACCCAGACGCAGAGCCTTGCCCTCCTCCTTGGGCTGTTCCCGGCCGCCTCACCGACGATAAGAAAAGCAAACACTGATTTGAGAGAGTTGCTCTCTTAAAAAGTCTGACGAGTCCAGGACGCAGGGCTCTGCTGTCTGTCTCTTAGGAGAGAAGTTACAGGTACTTCGAGAAAAGTCGCACTAGTGTCTGCGTTTGCGGCTGAAAACCCGCACGTGAATGTTCTCCTAAATTACCTTGCTTATATTTACAAATATGAGTAATAAGCAGCGTAGAAGTCTCTTCAAAACTGTTTTCCACATCGGGCGGCACAGAATCATCTTCAAATCACATCAGGGATTCACTGCCCTCTTGAGAAGTGCAAAAGACCTTACCTGATTTAACTCTACAGACCTCATGCATTTTTTTTTTAATTTGAATTCATTAAAATGGCTTTGTTTTGAGACAGTATGCACTTCAGAAAACTAGAGACCTGAAGGGGGTGACAAACTAGGACTTGGAATCACTGAATAGGACAATCGGAGCTTTATTCCTGTGTTCTTTGAGCTGCTTCTACTGAGAAGTACTCACGTGGATATCACATAAAGATGTGATTAATGATGGAAAAGCACCCTGCGAGTGGACTGCTCCATGAGCCAGAATTTATGTGTAGAAATAATCTAACTCTTAAAACATTCCATCTGCAATGTACTGTACTGGGACACCAGCCCCTAAAGCACTGTTCGCTGTGAAATAGCCACGTGGACACTGCCTAAGTGTGGACTTTTTTTTTTTTAATTGGCAAAAGAACTGAGAAGCAGGTTTGGGGTGAGTTAGAAAGATAATACAGCCCTGTTGCTACTTTTCTGCCTTTAAATCCTGCAACTAAAAGGCATTCGTTATGATTGGTAATCATTTAAGGTTAGCATTATGGGGTCAGCCTCTGGGAATTTCTGACCCAGTTTTTAGGGAAGGAAAAGGAGCCCATTTGGAGATGGGAGACGCACTTCTGGCAGTAAGTGAAGCCTGAAGGCCTCAGATGCAGAACCAACTTGCAGCCTGTGCCTTTGACCTCTTGACTTCTGCTGAGGGGAAGCGATCTCTCCCGCTGCTCCCTGTCCTCTGGCGGCCAGAACATGTTACTGCAGCCTTATTGGGATTGCTTGTGCTTGGTGAGTAAATCCCTAAAAATCTAGTAAACTGTAGATCTGCTGTTTTTAGAGTGGTTTAGAGGGGGTAGTTAGAAAGCATCTGCATCTCAAATCTCCTTAGTTGGAGGTGTTGGGATTTTTAGGAAGGAAGGAAAACATAGTCTTTGTACCAGAGGTGGAGATCATGGATCTCTCCTAGATGAAATATATGAGACTTTATGATATGCCTTTCACATGCTGCAGCTCCAGTTGCCTTACTTTAACTGACACGTCTTGAAACCTTTCTCCCCTTTCCTTATCTATACAATGAAGTTTGTGTAATGTATGCATGTAGTGCTCTGATTGCTATCATGAGAGCTTCCTCAGTGTATTTCATCTAGTTGGGGAAATAAGATATAGATTAAAGCTAATTAAAAGCTAAATGAATGATTGAGTAGCATACAATATTGGTTAGAAGAGTCTAGAGGAGAAAAGGAGCAATGCATGCTGGGATTGTCAGGGAAGGCACCTTATGAAGAGTTTTGACCTTACCCTTAAAGGACAGTTAATATTTAATTTGGGATAAAGAAGTCAATGGGGAGACCATTCCAGAGGGAAAATGCCACGAGCAAAGACTCGGAGGTGGAATGAATAATGAATAAGGCACATTCAGGTGGGAGATGAGTGACCTATCTAGTAGTAGTAGAGATTGGTGTTTAGCAATTAGGTATGAGGTTAGATTGAAGAGATACAGAGGCACATTGTGGAGGTACTTGAATGTTAATATAAATAGCTTGTTATCAGCCCAGCAAGTTAAGGGAAACCATCAAACAAGTTAACTTCACTGAAGAGTACATTTCTCCTTCTTCTACTAAAAAAGGTTTTATACATACTAGCAATAAATAAATATGTGGAAATAGAAATTAAAAACATAATGCCATTTACAGTTGCTCCAAGGAATATGAAATATTTTAAGTATAAATCTATCAAAACATGTACAGGACCTGTATGCTGAAAATTATAAAAAGTGATGAAAGAAATTAGAGAAGACTAATTGGGGTGACTTACTATATTCATAGATTAGAAGAACCCATAAAGAAGTCAGTTTTTCTCGAATTTATCTATAGATTTAACATAATTCCAATCAAAATCCCAGCAAGTTTTTTATAGATATAGACAAGCTTAAACACAAGCAGTGTCTAGCACATCTAGAGGCATGAGTGAGTGCTAGATTCCCCAAAGGCAGAGGAAGAGCTCATATATTTAGGGAACCAGCAAAACAAGGACTCCAAAATTTACAATTAAATAATCTAAAAAGAAGCTATTTTCACTTCAGTACATGAAAGTGTATGGTTTAGTTTTGTTTTTAGTTAGAGTTCAATGTGAGGGAGGAGCACAAAGATTTTTAGTTAGAATTAAATATGGGGGAGGAGCACCATAATCTTTAGTGTTTAAACCCTATTAAGGTCTTAATGCATCCCTGGCTGAAGTTTATTCATTCATTCAACAAACAGTGATTGAATGACTATTACCTGTATGTGCCAGGCACCACGCCTAGCTCTAGGAATGTGGTTATAAATGAGATAGGAAAGGCCCCTTCGCTTGTGGAACTAACATTCTAGTGGGGAGAGAAGACAATAAGCAAATAAACAAAAACAATGCCCAGGACTGTGACAAGATCGACTACATAGGGAAAAAAATGGGTGAGGTGATAGTGAATGACTGAAGGTAGGGATGAAGATAGTTGAGGAAGTTCAAGGGCAGTGGGGAGGCATTTGAATTGAGACCTGAAGGATGGCAACCAGGGAAAGTGGTTTTAGCAGAGGAAACAGGTCACTCTAAGACCCCTCAGCAGAAACAGCATGGCTTGTAGAGTGCTGTGTATTCTCAGAGCCAAGGGAGGCCAATGGGACTCAAAAGTATAACACAAGGGTGGGGAGGAGTCAGACTATGTAGAACCTTGTAGTTCATGGTAAGGAGTGTGGGTTCTATTCTAAAAGATTTAAGCAGGCTAGTACATGATCTGATTTATAAAGAAGATATTTGCAAGTAAGCATAATAGGTTAGTTTTTAATAATCTATAAATATTTTTTATTTAGCAGCTTCTTTTTCTAATATGAAGAGAGTATTTTTGATAATTTAATCTCCAGGGATCCTTTTAATATCCCCAAATCAAGTACTCTTAGCCCAGGATTCATAGATTCCTAGGTAGTAAATGGGTGGGCTTCAGAAGGTGTAGGAGCCCCCTGAAATCTTGTGCATACATGCTTATGTGTGTTTCTGTGTGAGTGGCTCCCTAGGTTTCCGCAAATTTTCAAAGGATTTTGTCACACACAAAACAGTAAGACCCACTTCACATATATGTCTTGGCTGTGCATTTTGGATAGTAGTTGCTGCTGTTATCTTAGAGTTCATAGCCCTGTACAAACAAATTATAGTTCTGGACAGAAGCAAGCTCTGCCTCAAAGAGATGACACTATGTTGGAGGAGGGCAGTATTTGTGGCAGAGTAGGAGGGAATATTCCACGAGTTTGCCCCTGAGGGAACTCCATGGAAGAAACATTTTACCTATGTAATGTGAGAACTAGAAGATACCTAAGACCTTCCCTGGTACCATCCCACTCACATTACATGTAAGAAAGTGAAGGTCCAGAGAGGTTAAGTGGCTTGCCCAAGATTGGACAGCTAGTTAGGGACTAAAGTAGGATTACAAACAGGTCTCCCAACTCCCAGCTACTCATGGAAAGGTTTACAAAGAAACTCTACCAAATATTGAGCTTAAAAGTTTAATGGGAATTAAATGTTCATTCAATTACATAAATACATGCCTATTCCTGAGGAATTGGAGGGAAATAGGTTCAAAATGTGTAAGTTCTCAGCCATGAAAGAGATGAAAGACATCAATGTTAAGATGTACAACCAAGAAAGAGTAAATAGCAATGATACTCTGTGTTATCACTGTATATCTGATCTTTTTGTGGCATATATATAAATAGACACAATAACTTATTGTGTCTTGTGATTTTTTATTTATGAATTTGGCAATTATTTTAAAAATTGGCATTCCCACAATTAAGTCAAGAGTGTGGAGAAACCGACTTTCTCAATACCACTGGTAAGAGCATAAGCTGACATAACTCTTCTGGAGGGCAATTTGGCAATATGTTTTCAAAAGCCTTTTAAAATGCATACCCAGCAATTCTACTTTAAGAATTAGTCTTAAGGAAATGATAGTACTATTTCCAAAGATGTATGAATAAGGTTGTTAATCGTAATGTAAAATAATAGCTAACATTTATTGAAAATTACGTCATTCAATCCTCACAGCTATTTTTACCTCCAGTTTACAGCTGACTTGCTCGATGTTGCACACCCGATGCAAGAGCTGGGATCTGGATAACATGCACTACACATCTAAGCAGAATCAAGATCCTAGGGGCTTTACAAGCTGTACCAAAGGGCTTGGACTTCATTCAAGGCAAGCAGTGGACGCACCTTTGAAAGATTTTTTATTTTTTAAGACAGTGTCTCACTGTGTTGCCCAGGCTAGAGTGCCGTGGGGTCAGGCTAGCTCACAGCAACCTCAAATTCCTGGGCTCAAGCAATCCTCCTGCCTCAGCCTCCCAAGTAGCTGGGACTACAGGCATGCGCCACCATGACTGGCTAATTTTTTCTATATATTTTTAGTTGGCCAGTTAGTTTCTATTTTTAGTAGAGATGGGGTCTCGCTCTTGCTCAGGCTGGTTTCGAACTCCTGACCCTCGCAGAGTGCTGGGATTACAGGCGTGAGCCACCGTTCTCTACCACCTTTGAAAGATTTTAAGCAGGAGAAATGACAGGATCAGGTTTGCTTTTTGCCATGTAAAGAATGGTTTGGTGGGGTCCGTAAAGGAAAACAGGAAACAATTGTACAAGTTAGAGAACTAAATGGAAATGGAGAGGAAAAAACAGATTCAAGATACTAAAAAGCTAGAATCAAAAGGACCTCGAGATCAGTTAGATAGGAGCTGCTAAGAGGAAAGGCAGCATCAAGGGTGACTCCTAGGTTTCTGACTTGGTTGGATGGTGGTGCTGCTTACTACGGCCAGAGGAAAGATGAGAGGTTGAATTTTAAGCATGTTTGAGGGCCTGTGGAACCTCAAGAGGTACTAGGAGGCTGTTGCATTTATGTATCTGAAGGTCAGCAGCAATTCCTGGGCGGGAGATAAGGATTTGGGATTCTTTAGCCATATTTTGTTGCAGTCCTGGCCAGTAGATGAGATCACGGTGAAAGTGAGGAAAAAAATGTTAGCAGTCCAGGGAACTGTGAGGCTTAAGGCTCATAGGGAGGCTGAGGAGGAGAAACTAGAGAAGTAGAAAGAAAAGCAATGAAAGTGGCAGTTATGGAAAGAAAGCCAAGAAAAGAGTTTCAAGCAGGGAAAGAGTGTATTTCTGGCAGGTTAATACCTCAGGGAAGACCCATGACATAAGGACTAAAAAGTCTTTCTTTGATTTAGCAATAAAGTGACCATGGAGAGGATGGTTTCACGGAAGACAATCTTGTAGAAAGCAAGATTGCAGTGAGTTGAAAAAGGAAGGAGAAGGAAGAAAATGGAAACCGTGAAAAAGAAACTACTCTTTCAAGGTTGCCTGTTAAGAATAGAATAATATCTAGTTAGAGACAGATGGAGAATATTTAAACCCTATAAAAATCCTAGTGACCTGATAACCAGTCTAAGGTTTTGCTTTGTTTTGTTTTAATCAAACAATTCATAACAAACAGGGATTAAAGAAATGAGAAATGAGAATTTCTCAGTTGTAACCTCAGAAGAGTTGCAGGCGGACTTTCACTACCTACAGTCCAAACTTTATTTTTAGTATTATGTGGAACACACATTTGGAGGGTTTGTCAAGGATGTTTTGACAAGTCTTACGATAACTGTAAAATAAAACATTAAGAATAAGAGAATTATTTCTAACATCAGATGTATTTATCTTTTAAAAGGCTGAAAAATACTTTTACAATCAGCAAAAAATAATGGTAGTAGTAGGGGGAAAGTAAA